ATGTCGGGATCTAAGCATGAGCTCCAGCTATGGAGGTTTCTCACTTATCTAGGTCGCACTTAACCAAGTTTTACTGTATATTATATACTGCCTATCTCCTGAATTGCCTTTCTGTGTTCCCTCTAAGGAAACTCACGGGACAATATGGGGTAGTGGATGACAACAATAATGACTGCATAATTTTTTATGATATAATATTCATTGATCAAATATATTGCAGTGTGATGGCTACATAAAATAATCAATAACCCCATTTCATCTAGTGGGTTTTTAAGTTAATGTAGTAGGCCTCTATTGAATAAGCCAGCGACACCTCATGGCCTATTAGAAATGCATTTTTAACATTTGGAGAATATATGATTACATAAATATTTAAAAAGAAATTAACAAAATTAAATAGTTAATTACTAATTTCCTACTCCTTCTCACTTTATAAGCGAGAATAGTATTCTGTAAAGTAAAATTTAAATTACTGACCATTAAATTGGCTTTTTTTTAGAAATGCATAATTTTCGTAGAAGTCACTCGCACACCGATCTGAATTTTATTTTTTTCACAATGAAATATCGAATTTCTCGCATGGTTTTTATTTGAACTAAGTACTAATAACTATGAAAAATAGTAGCAATCCAAATAAAAATTACTTAAACAGAAATTATATTAATGAGCTATATTCTTTGGACCATTATGCTTTGAAGCCTAAGAAAAGTTCTCGAGTGTCAACCCCATACCGACAAGTGAGTAAATATGTGCGAATTTATGAGTGCAGGACGGTACTTAATTATTTTTTTTATACACAAAATACGGAACGACTATAAGGTGGTCCCAAACTAGATGAAGTCACGATCTGGTAAGACATTTAGAAGTCAATGGAAGCAGGTGGCTCAGGTTCGTGTTTTCTGGCATTACTTGAAGAAGCCTTAGATTAAGCATTGAACTTGGGAAGGGTTGGAATGATGATTATGGTAACTATGGCTCTTTTTTGAATTCGGAATATATAAGATGAGAAACAAAGGTTAGCTACGGCTAGGTTGGTACGGCCTGCATTTATGGATGATAATAACCCCTGGGAATGAGGTGATCGCTACCAAGCTATTTCTAATTTGTTTTGTGTGGTTAATTGTGTAACATACATGATTGTAAGCTGTTATTTAAAAAAAAAGTCCCGCTGGTTTTCTTGCTGGTTCTTCCCAGGACAAAGGTTTTATTCGAACCAGTGGTAATTAAACAAAAGAGTGACTTTCAATAAGTATTATTTATAATCTATATTGAATAAAAAAGTTTCGGTTTCTGTTTCTGTTTCTGTATCACATCAACAACATTTAGGTCCACCGTTGGACTGCACCAGTTAACATAGATTGGACTAAACTCCCCAAGCTGGGCAGACGAGTTGGAGAGCAAGATGCTATCGCACAGCCAATGCTGCATCCGATTAAAATGTAAATGCCTCTTGGCTAACAACAAAATTATCACTAAAAAGCGAAGTCCCCAGCATCGGTCCGTAAAATAATTCTGTATTTTGGATAAATTACCGCCTACATATAATTACCTATATAATTACCTATCGAGCAGCATTGCGATGGTGTTACTATGGTGGCAATTGTTTGGTGGTGAGAATCGGTCCACAGCTGAGTTATTTATTAGATATTATCATTTTGATAAGATTTGTTAACCTAAAATAAGATCTGAGACATAGAAAAATAGGACATCGGCTGGTAATCGATACGAATATATTTTTACACAGTGCAACGAAACTAGACGTCAAACGTCAAAGCCAAGCCAAATAAGATTTTATTTTCATACATGACTTGTAGCGAAGTACAACTTACGAAAATATGATCCATACAAAATCTGTATGTACCTATAAGTTGAAATATCATCACTCTTTCCCACGCAAGCACAACCACTACATCAATCTTCACTACAACAGCCCTGAGAGAATGGCTCAAAATTATTTAATTTAAAAATATGTTTTAATAATTTTTTGAATCTAAAGTAATAAATAAATAATTGCTATTTTTATTTTGTAAGCGAAGTTTTCTGTGGCTGACTTTGATTCAGATCCAATTATGTTTTTACTAAGTAATTGTGACTTACAGATGTTATGTTCAATTATGCAGCATTTATTACAAGGCATCGCTCTCTGAGAAAGGAAGGTTTTGTTTTCTTTTGTTTTAGTTTCAGAAACATTGCACCGTTTCTTTTTATAAAGAACAAAGAGTACAATAAGTTTGAAACGGGCCGGTATTGTAAAGCCTATTTTAAATAACCGCAAGTTTTACTTAAAAGCCTGCGGGTATCTGCAATTTAATTTTTTTTAAATAGGTTTATCTGAACCACAGGTATTGATTAAAAAAATAAAAATAAAAATATTTTATTTCGACAACCATGGATCACAATGTGTTCATACATGTATAAGAAAATATTTCCTCATCTATAAATCTATTCATACATACATACATACAAATAAATAAAATTCAAGTGTCTGTTTGTAATTTCAAAATAACAGCTATTTACTAAATACATATGAAATACGATACTTGATCTGTTAATTAGTTTGTTCCAGTTAATTAACGAAACGGCTGGACTGATTTTGATGGGACTTTCACTGGCAGACAGCTGATGTTATAAAGAGTAACTTAGGTTACTTTTATTTAAAAAAATGAATTAGGGTTCCACGCAAACCTAAATTTGACGCGGGCATGAAGCAATTTTTTTTAATTAACCCAAATACTATACAGAACACCAAACATTAATATGTCAAAATATAAATATATAAGTATGTACATGTATATGCGTAGAACGCAAACAAAATACGCCAGCAAGCATTTAATAATGTTAACCTCAAGCTGACAGCCTGTTAACTTAATACGTGTATCAATAGTTCATCAAAGGGATTTCATAAGCTACTCGTATCACAAAATTTGGCGCACAATTCAATATTAAACATTAAATCATCGCTGCTTACCTTCAAATATGGTAAATGCTCCTTATAGCGATAAAAGCCTCTGTTGAGGCTGGCAGATAATGAAGAAGAGTGAAAAACATAACTGATGCGTACTTGTAATAATAATAATAATTAGGTAGTAGGGTACTTCAATTGAAAGATATTTCACGTAATTTTATACGAGATATAATACTTATTTATTAATAGATGAAAGAAATCCTTTGTTCCATTATATAAACTTACACATAATTGCTTCGCTATCAATTATTTCCTGCCGACACTGGAAAATTACGAATACTTGTATTTTAGATTTTCTTAAGTGCCTTCGATAATGTTCTCTACTGCGCAAATTATGTTTCCAATTATCAAAAGTGTTTTCTCGCAACGATCTCTTCAATTCACCAAGCTTACACTCCCTGGGGATCAAAATCTTCTAGCGATTTAAGGGCAAAATAAGTTCAAGATTGAAAATTATTTTCTTTGAAAAAAATCTGTGATTACATTAACTTTGTGCGGTTGTTAGTTAGTTGTTAGTTGTCTTCAAGAAGTACAAGTTGAGGACAAAAAGTTAAGCCTTTATTGATTTCTTTATGCAGTATGGAAAGATACACCCAGCCGTTCATTATTTTACCTTCCTCAAGGAGCCGATAGAACGAAATCCTTCGTAATATCATGAACTATCCTCCTCTGCCATTCGTGATCATTCAAATGCTGCGACATATGGCGGTTCCTCATCTTTTGCCAAACAGAACCTTGAATACTCAAGTCGCATCGATGGCCAGAGTTATTTTACGCATCCGGGAAGCATGTACGGGATGCTTATGACGTTGCGTTAAGTTACTGTGAGAACCGTTAAAATGTGTGTTTGTAAACCAATGTTTTTTTTGCAATAGTTGGATGAACAATATCAAAGTAATCTGTGAGTAATACTTTTGGAAGCCGGGATGCTCATTACGCTCTTTAAAATTACATACTGTTAACGTAATGAAATAGTTTATTATAAATAAAAATGCACTTATAACACAATATATGTCCTCAATTAATATTTGTACAGAGCACTCAATATTAGTTTTTGTAATCACGACAATTACACTTTAACTAATTCGGCGTGTTCTCAAAACAAAATGCCTAAGAATCATGATGCACCCTATTTTATAACATTTCCCTTTCCACTTCTCTTCCGTTGTGCACGAAGAGGGGCGGACGATGTTGCCACTGATAAAGTTGCCAACACTGCCATCCTCCATGGTTTCTGCCTCAGAAACCTCACGAGTCTATTTGAAATACTGCAACGACACAAATTGATTAGAAACAATTTTTATGTATATCAACTGCCATTTTTTTATAAACTGGTCATGACGCAAGTTTATAGTCAAAGGATACAATCGAGTTACACATTTTTAGTTATACGAAAATTCGACAGCAATTTTAAGACCACCTGCACTTAAAGGAACTTGTCACACTTAAGAGACCAGGTTCGTCTTCTCCTGGAATCACTTGCATTTAAAGGACATTTAGTCTCACTTAAACGTACCAAGTTCATTCCACTTGCGTTTAATAAGATATTTCGTCTTACTTAAACGTACCAAGCTTATTTAAATTATACTTATCTCGGTTTTGTTTAACATTTTATGTGTTTTACCCATATTTTGTATTGACTCGCGCACTCTGTAAAATGACAATTAAACTATACATACACAAAAATAAACATAACACACGTACACAGAAATAAAATTTTATATATATTTATACAAAAATCTTGTTACTTGAACTGCTAAAATATCTAGCCAACACGATAACTATATGGTATTAGGGTATTAGGTCAATTACAGTCAGTTCTGCAATTTTTACCCAAGGCTTTATATTTTCAGCGGCTGTGACGCCAGTATAGGGCTTAGAAGACCTTTTACTTCCTTTTACCTCCATCACCTCATATCTATCATGACCCAGAACCTTTTTTACTAGAAATGGACCCTTAAATATGGGTAAAAGTTTACTACATTTTCCTTGGTTACTCTGACTTTGTACCTTAACCAAAACTAAATCTTCTTCGTTATAGCTTGAACCTCTCTTTTTGAGACTCAGCATTATTTCTTATATTTCTATCAACCTCTTTTCGCAACTCGGTCACATCAACGTTACGTATGCCATCAAGCTCCGGAGCTAACATATCACTATCCGTACGTAGTCTATAGCAGAGGAGAACTTCACTAGGAACCGCCTTTATGGTTTTATGCATGGTAATATTTAAGCCTTGCTGTAATTCCTTAATGTGCTGATCCCATCTATCCTCAGTTGAATGTTCTCCCATAGTTTTCAAAGATTCTAAAATCGTCTTATTAAACCGTTCAACTTGACCGTTAGAACGGGGCATTCCCGTCGCCACAGTATGCAAACGTATATTTTTATTGGAACAGTATTGTTTGAAGTCACATGACGTAAAGCATGTTCCTGCATCTGATATAATTCGTTTAGGGTTACCGAATATCTTGGAAATCATCTCTAGTTCTTTTATTACGCCAGAACATTTGGTACTTCGTACTAAAGATATAAAAAACGAATTTTGTAAAGACCTGTACGATGATTAATAGGTACTTATTTTTATTACAAGTTTTTACAAATGGACCTAAATGGTCTAAATGAAGTGTATGAAGTAGTTGTGCATACTTCGGCAACGGTATGCACAACCATTTTTCGATAACTCCCCTTCCTTGGAACCCCCTTTGTTTTTATAATATATACAATTTATGCAATTTTTATACACTTTCTTACGATGTGTCACTTACGTGGAAATCAGTATAGATATGTTTACGTTCAATTGTTTTATCGAGTGTAAAATAACCTAAATCAACGTGATTGCATATTATGACTTGCCATATACGCTTTTTGGGTACTACCCAACATCGAACTTGTGATGTACTTCTATATACTTTACCACCTAAAAGTTCATAGTTTTGAAAATATCCTTATTTGCTTCAGCCTGTCTTGTCTCTAGAATTTCTTTAATATGCTATATTTCTAAATCTTGTAACTGTACTGTAAGTAACCAGACCACTTCCGTTATAGACAATATAATTTCACTTTTTTGATTTTTCACCTGACGACATAGAGTTCCGGCTTAATGCATCCACATGTTGCATACGTGTGCCCTCCCTATGAACAATCTCAAATACAAGTTCTTGTGTATATAGAACCCATCGTGCAATACGAGGAAGAATCTCTTTCTTAGTCAAAGCGAACCTAACGGCACTACAGTCGGTAATTATTTTAAATGGAGCTCCTAACAAGTATAAACGAAACCGTTAAAGCGAACAAATAATTGCTAAAAGTTCCAGTTCAAAGGAATGATATTTCTTTTCACATTCAGATATTTGTCTGCTATAATAGTGTACTGGTTTTTCGCCGTCGTCAGTTACTTGCATAAGAATACCCGCAATACTTTCTCTACTCGCATCTGTATATAATACTGTTTGAGCGATAGGATTAAAAATAACCAATACACTTTGTGAAGTTAGACTGTTTTTTAATGTTTGAAATGCTTTTGTATGAGAAGTGTTCCACGTCCAAGCAGAATCGTTCTTCAACAGTTTCGTAAGGGGTGCAGATATCAATGCACAGTTTTTATTAACTTTTCTAAAATAACTGTCGTTTAAAATTCAAAACTCCTATTTGCACACTGAAAAACCAAAGTGTAAGAAATTGTTACCTAGAGAAACTAGAGAAACACTTAAAATCTATACAACTGGAAGAAACATATACGGTTCTAACCTTATACAATAATCTAGAAAACTGTCTATTAGAAAGCATGAAAACTGACAAACAAGTAGAGAAACGGAAACTATACAATATTCTTACCGAGGAGACATTAAGTCTTATTAAACAACGCCACAAACTACAAAATCTCAAACATAAAAGCCGCGAAGACAAAATAAAACTCAGCTATATATATAAAATAACAAACAAAAATATCAGGAAAGACTACAAGAGACATAGATTAAAAACAATAGAAGAGTATGTAATGACTAGTGAAAGCTGCAAACGTGCGTACAAAGAACTTCGCTCACACAAAACTTGGATACCCAGTCTATTAGAAAACTCTAGTCCATCAAATAATAGAGAAAACATTCTCAAAATAGCAACAAAGTTCTATCAAAACCTCTACGACCAAAAAGACCTTGGGAATTTTGAAACCATAAATTTCTACTCTCAAAATCAAACGAATATTGATTGGAATGATACCGAAATAGATAATGTTTAGAAATAATTTGACGGCTCCGTGGCGCAGTGGCTTCGCAATGAGTTGCTGCGCTGGGGGGGCGCGGGTTCGAATCCCGCACGGAACAAGTTGTACGGCCTACAAATGATTGTTCCGGGTCTGGATGTTTGTCCTTGTGAAATTTGTGTTTGTAAACTGCCTCCAAGATACAGGAGAAAATCATAGTATGGGGGTAACGTTTTTTTAATTAAAAAAAAAAGAAATAAAGAGGCTAAAATCAGACAAGAGCCCAGGACTAGACGTTATCCCCAACGAGGCACTAAAGCTGGCAAGAACACAACTAAGACCTGTGATAACCTATTTATTCAATATTATAAATAAAAAGCAGAGAGTTTTCGAGCAATGGACCAAATCAAATATTGTATTACTTTATAAGAAAGGCGATCCAAAGGATATTGGAAATTATCGACCCATTAGCTTACTACCTAGTCTTTACAAACTTTTTTCACAGTGTATTTTAAGTCGAATATCTGCAAAAATTGACAGAAACCAACAGATAGAGCAAGAGGGTTTTCGAAGAGGATATTCAACTGTAGATCATATTCAAGCTCTGGAGAACATAATTGAGAAATATAAGGAATCTCAAAAGCCTGTCTATTTAGCATTTATAGATTACCAAAAAGCATTTGACTCTATCTCACATATTTCAATATGGGAGGTGCTGAAGGCGAACAACATAGAAGACACCTATTGTAATATAATAAAAAACATCCATGAAAGAAGCCCAAGTACAATTACCCTGGAAACAAGCGGCCCAGATATAAAAATAAAAAAGGCGTAAAACAAGGCGACCCTTTATCCCCTAAACTCTTCATCGCCGTACTAGAGATGATTTTCAAAAAACTTGCCTGGAAAAATGTTGGTATTACGATAAATAAGAATTATCTCAGCCATTTACATTTCGCTGACGACATAGTATTATTCTGAGAATCGAGTTCGCAATTAGAGCAAATTATACAAAATTTACAGACAGAAAGCGCTCGCTTAGCTTCTTTAACTAATGAACCTGCAGAAAACTAAACTGATGACCAATTCTACAAAACCAACAATAAAGATAGGAAACGAAAAGCTTGAATATGTAGACACCTATATCTACCTTGGAAAACAAGTATCATTCCACCAGAATAATAACATAAAAGAAATAATTAGAAGAATAAATATTTCATGGAAAAATACTGGGCTCACAAGAAAATAATGAAAGGAGACCTGCCGCTTTCTACGAAAAAGAAAATAATGAATAGTTGTATCCTTCCCTGCCTAACGTATGGTTCGCAAACTTGGACATATACAAAACAGGCGAAAGGAAAAATCAGAAAATGTCAAGCAGCTATCCATCCTAGGACTCCGAAGGAGAGATAAAGTACGCCACACCAAGTTAAGAGAGAGAACAAAACTAATTGATTTCTTAAGCCACTCGATGAAATTGAAATGGAAATGGGCAGGACATCTAGCTAGAATAGAGGACGCTCGGTGGACGTGTCGTGTCCTTGTATGGAAAGAGCCGAAGGGTAAAAGAAAACGAGGGAGGCCAAGTAGAAGATGGATTGACGATATCAAAGATATAGAAGGAGATGATTGGCAAACAAATGCGAAAGATAGAAAACAATGTTCAAAAATGGAGGAGGCCTTTACCCTGCAAAAGAGGGGTTCTCATTAAATAATTGAAACTATTATATATTTTTAAAATTGAAATTTTTATATTTACTTATCAAATTATAAATTGAAAAATAAATTTAAGCATATTAAACATTATAAATTACAAATTTAAATTAATTATGAAGCTAATAATGTGATTTTTTAATTTGTTATGATTTATTTATTATTGTTTCATGTATACATAAAATATCAATTGTAAAACTGCATAAAAATGAGAAATAATAAAAGGCTTATTTATTTATTTATTTATTTTCGCCGTCGTCAGTTACTTGCATAAGAATACCTGCAATGCTTTCTCTACTCGCATCTATATACTCACCGGCACGGAAACTTGGCCACTCGTGAATTTGCTGATTATTTGCACTGAAACGTTTTTTTAACAGTAATTTAAGGGTAGATGCATTCAATAAGTGTCTCTAATGGTTTTAGAACGTAGAAATTTAATGTTTACTTCACCGAAATTTTTCTTTTCAAGATAACATGTTTTCACTAAAATTAACATCTTTCCATTGTCACTTTAAAAACACTACAAAGTTAAAAATTAAGTCTGTTTCTTTATTGTCTATCAGTTTTAATATCGGGTGTTTCCTCCCCTAGCCCTGATAACCGCTTGCATTCGATCTGGCATGCTTTGAATGATGTTTCTGACATCAACTTGCGGTATGCTGTCCCAAGCGGCCAGCGCTGCATTTCGGAGCTCATTTAGAGTTTGTGGCGGTTTGGAGCTGGACTTTATCTTTCTTTTGAACATACCCCATACATGCTCAATTGGATTTAAGTCCGGGCTACGAGCTGGCCACTGTAATTTTTGTATTCCAACCTCTTCCAGATATTCCTCTACACAATGTGCGACGTGCGGGCGTGCATTATCGTGCATGAGGAGGAATTGGTCGTGTCCAATGAATCCCGAATAAGGAATTACGTGCTCCTGAAGAACTTCCTCGATGTATCGAGTAGCTGTAAGCCGATTATCGACGATGACCAACTCTGTACGTGCGTCGGAACTTACACCTCCCCATACCATTATTGAGCCTCCATGGAAACTCACAGTTTGGGTGGTGGTAATGGGTAGAAACCTCTCTCCTCTTTTTCTCCACACTCGTTCTCGACCATCTGGAGCACGTAAAGCTATTCGACACTCATCTGTGAACAACACTCTAGCCCATTGCTCGTGGGTCCAATTGAAATGTTCTCTTGCGAACTGAAGTCGGGCTACTCGGTGCTGTCTGAGAAGTTCTGGACCTCGTGCTGGTCTACGAGCTTTTAAATTCACTTTCTCCATTCGTCTTCTCACCGTACGCTCACTAACATTAACGCCTCTTGCGATTTGGAGCCGCTGGCGTATCTCAACAGCGGTCAGGTAGCGGTTTCTCAAAATCTCCATAACAATAAAACGATCGTCCCGGGCCGATGTGCACCTTACGCCCCCACTGCCTGGCCTGCGGGTGTAGCGTCCTGTCTCCTGGTATCGTTTCAGTGAATACTGCATTGAGGACCGTGGTACGTTAAGCACAATAGCAACTTCACGCTGTGTCAGCCCTTGGTCAATTAATGCTACTGCTTGTGCA